TTATAGCCTACCTGAAAGGGTTCCTGTAGCCAGTTGGTAAGTGGAGGTGCTGATACTGCCACTAGAGCTGGGCGAACTTACAAAGGGCGAGTACGACTGGGCTGCGTAGTAACTTCCAGGATATTGCGATGTCTGTGAGTCCGTGTAGGTTGAGCTGTAGGGACTGTAGTCCACGCCCTGCAAACGGCGCTTGATGAATCAGTCGTTCGGCAACCCGGATTCCCGTGTAATCCGCTCAAAATTCAACTAAACTTGAGCCTTTAAACATCTGAGGAGCTGTCGGGGTTGTTGAAACTTGAACGCCACGTATCGGTGGCGATCAGTAGATTTCAAGCGATGTTGTTGATTGCACGATGCGGTAAATTGATCGCAGTTTGAACCTCTTACCTGAGCAAACCCCTGAGAAAAGCCGGTAGCTGCGCTGCTCGATCCGTAGCTGGCGTACGAGGAATACTGGCCGGATTGGGCAGTGGCGGCACCAAAGGCACTGGCCGGCGACCCATACGGGGCGGCTATGTACCCTGCACAATCCCAAACTGAATAAAACTTGCCAACAACTGTTTGTGTTGCACCCTACCTGAAGCCTTGCAGGAAGGATTCAGCCCTCGTGACGGTCCCAGCGACGAGTAGGGATACGACGAGGTGCCGTAGAAGGGACTGGATGACGTCGAGCTCATGTAGGAGGAGGTGCCCGAACTGCCATACGCTTGGTGCATACTGGAAAAGCGCAGAAAGGTCCAGTCTACCATTGAGACTCATGGATCCGACCAGGTGTTGATCGGCTCCTGTTTACGTTATTATATCCACCCCGTCCAATTCCGAAGCGGAAAAGTTAAACAACACTCGGGAAGTGGGCGCGCTTTTATTTCCTCGTTAAAAATCCGAAACATCAACATCATCAGTGGCCGACTTGCCTTTTCAAACATGCGACGCCGTTAATTATCTCTTTTTTAACCGGGGAAATGTAAACAGGCCTTTAGTTGCGTAAACACGCACATCTGGTCCTTCTATCCGAAATGGTGGCATTTGAGAGAGCGAGCTCTGTAGCAGGTGGCCATGAAGGTGTCTAAATTTAGGGCGAGGGGTTTAATGATGCCTGGGCACTTATTAGGTGATTATTTCGAGTCGAAGTATTAAGTGCCACTTCAGAGACGGTTTTCTTTTCGATTGACTTTTCGCGGCTCCGCCCCCCATATCCCCACCCCACCGGATTCTAGCGCCTTACCTATTGTAATATTGATAGGCTTGTGGATAGTCCTTGTCGTAGGCGGCGGCGCCAATGTCGGCCGGCGACGCCCCATAGAACGGCGCCGTCGCCGTCACAACATCATGGTGGGCAGTCAGGGCGGCGGCGACGTCCGAATCCGCCAGTCCTGGCGACTTGATCTCCGACTTCACCCCTAACAGGAACAATTGTTATTTGCCTAACCAAAAAATGCCTCAAACTTCTGACACTGACGGCCATTTGCACCAGTGAACCTAACCCAGATAGCATTTGATATTCTATAAATATCCCAGAATGTTCAAAAAATATACAGAACATTGCGGGAATATCCTGGGAATATACATAGGTGAACATTCCTAACATGAATGTTCGTGGAAT